CAACCAGTCCTACATGTTATCAGACCGAGCGTTCACCTACACTGAGACCAATCCCCAGGTCCTCACTGGTCAGCCAGGAACGGTTCAGTAATCAGGACCAACCACTGACAGGAGCAGCATGTAATGAAAAGGAATGCTCAGCAAAAGGTCTCATTTGTTATGAGGACTGGTTAGAGGTAAGACAAGCTGGATATAATGAGGATCTGTCAGTGATGGGACTAGTTGGTCATAATCAGGACCTGTCAGTGATGGGACTAGTTGGTCATAATCAGGACCTGTCAGTGATGGGACATGTTGGTCATAATGAGGACCTATCAGTGATAGGTCCTCATTATGACCAATTAATCCCATCACTGACAGGTCCTGATTATGGCCAACTAGTCCCATCACTGATAGGACTAGTTGGTCATAATGAGGACCTATCAGTGATGGGACTAGTTGGTCATAATGAGGACCTATCAGTGATGGGACTAGTTGGCCATAATGAGGACCTGTCAGTGATGGGACTAGTTGGTCATAATGAGGACCTGTCAGTGTTGGGACTAATTGGCCATAATGAGGGCCTATCAGTGATAGGACTAGTTGGTTATCATGGTGACTAATAAGGGTCAGCCAATGATAGACCTGGTTGCTAATAATGGGGGCTGGTCATTTTTAGGAATGGTTACTAGTCATGAATAGTGGTCTAAGTTGGAAGTTCTCAGTGGTAGGAGCTGAGCATACCATGAGGACTGGCTAGTGATAGGAGTGGTGTGTAAAGCAAGTACTGGTCAGTGAAAGAACTAATGTCTCATAATGAAAACTGGTGAGTGATCAGTAAGGGAGTAATGGGCGAAATGATGATCAGTCAGAGATAGAAGTAGTATGTCGTAATCAGGACTGGTTAGTGACAGGACTACTGATTGATCAGTGAGAGCAGAGGAAGGTAGTGTAAGGGACTGGTCAGTGGTAGGACTAGTTCGGGGTAATGGTGAGGAATGGTCAGTGGTAGGACTAGTCCGGGGTAATGGTGAGGAATGGTCAGTGGTAGGACTAGTCAGGGGTAATGGTGAGGAATGGTCAGTGGTAGGACTAGTCCGGGGTAATGGTGAGGAATGGTCAGTGGTAGGACTAGTCCGGGGTAATGGTGAGGAATGGTCAGTGGTAGGACTAGTTCGGAAAGAAGAACACTGGTCAGTGAGAGGACTAATCCAGTGTTTTGAAGACTCTCAGTGACAGGACTAGTTAGGTGACATGAGGACTGGTCAGTGACAGGACTAGTTAGGTGACATGAGGACTGGTCAGTGACAGGACTAGTTAGGTGACATGAGGACTGGTCAGTGACAGGACTAGTTAGGTGACATGAGGACTGGTCAGTGACAGGCATAGTTGGGGGACATGAGGC